GCCGCTGCGTGGTGAGATAAATCCGGCTACCCCAGCTTATAGGGGAAAGTATAATATTGTCTTACCTGCACACAAATCGCAACCCTATACGGGAACAGCGTCGGGCATATCCCTCCCCCTCCTTCCCTCACTTAAATAAGTAAATAAGGTGTGTAACTAAGGTGTATTTCATGTGTTTTAATCACTCCTTTTGAACCTCCTGCCCCAAATTGCTTTGTTTTCCCCACAATAAACCGTGCATTTCTTTAGAAATATTAGTAAGCACTGAGCAAGTTATTCACTCGAAAAAGTCAGGGCATAAGCCCCTGTCTCCTCTGTGTGAGGCGATACCCGTGTGGATCTCTCAGCAAATCCTGGTAAGTTAATACACTCCAATAAGGAGATATAATAGGTCACAGATCATGACAATTACCCATCTCCATATCTAATCTTGAGCATTTGGAGAAATGACTGAACTATATTCAGTCTCTTTTAAAGCCATGTGGTTAGGTGACACAGCACATCAAAATGGGTCTCAAATGTACTACTGCACTTCCTTTATACTTAAGACAATTCCTAAGCATTTACCTGCCACACTAGTCAGGCTGAAAAAGAAAACATTCTCAATGCTAAATTTATATTCTGAAAAATATCCTTTGGGTCTCTATTCAAGAATGGCAACACAATCTTCTACTTTTCAGATGAATGAGGTTTAATAATGTATAAAAAGATCCAAGGCCTTTATAATCTTTCAAGTAAAACCATTTGTCCTGCTTGAAAAGTCAACAGGACTCTGCAAGTAAAACTAGATTTATGGTGACAGAAGTTCTTCTTTCATCAGGATCCCACAAGAAACATTTGGTGGGATCTTGGGTCTGCTGCATCCACTGAGTTTGAAAGGACAGCCCTGCAGCTGTCCTTCACAAACTACTCTATGACATGAACCTTGCTTTATTCTGAAGCCCCCTCTCAGAAGACAACAATTTCCTTTATTTCAATGACTGCCACAATACTTTAGCATTCTTAATTGTACCCACATTGCTAATAAATCTCCTATTCAGTTAGTGTTGGGTTTTTTTCTGAGAGCTGCTTTGTCTGCTCCATTAGCAGCAGCTACCAAAACGGGATACGTACACTCAGCTCTCAGAAACTGGATTTAGTGGAGTGGGAATTTGTGATTGTTCTGTTGCTCCATCCCCTTTAAGACACGTATGCGTGTTACAACATCTTGAAAGGTGATTCAGATGTCTTTCATTGAAAGTGATAAAAATGATAAAGCAAAGTGTGAAGTATTAATCAACTTAAAAGTGCTACACTAACTAGTGACAATAAGCTGTGGGAATCCCATGCCCTGGATCAGGTTAATTCCAGTTACTCCTTCTTTTGAAAGGTATGGTGAACTCACATCTTCTTGAGTGATAAAGATGCACATTTCTGGTAAAACTAGGATGTATATTGAAGAGTTATGAAAATAAGACTCATGATGCTGGTAACAGAATTTATGGTCTCCTTTAGAAATCCTAATTGATTCACGATTATCCTAATATTTAGATTTGCTCTGACTCTCAAAAATGGGAAGAAGGGACCTGTTGAAGAAATAGAGCATGTGCTACCAACCCTGCCTCACACCTCCTGAAAAGGTTTCCAAAATACAATCTCAAAAGCTAGGGGGGAAAAAAAAAAGTTGAACACATCTTATCATGCTTTCAGAGGTAAAAGAAGAGAAACAACCAGACCCTTAACAAGTATCAAAGTAAGTATAGCTAAATTCCACAGCTTTCAGCACTAAAGCAGTCACAGGTTTTAATACAGTAATAAGGCAATATGCTTCCAAAAGGACTAAAAATCATCTGGGTATCTTTCTTGCTGCTGCTTTAACTGAAGACACTCCCTCTCCTGGGAATGAACACTCTTT